TGGCACAGCACCTGCCTGGCAAATGCAAAGTCCTGAGTTCAATCCCTGGTACAAAAAAACCAAAACCCTATACACACACACACACACACACACACACACACACACACACACACACACAAACTGTGTTGAAGGGAGGGGACAGGATTGGGGAAAAAGAAGAATCAAAATATATTCTGTACAGGTACAAATTCCCTACGATGAATATCATTACTATGTACATATAAAATATACTAATAAAAAACTTTTTTTTTTTGGTACCGGGGATCAAACTCAGGTCACTGCACTGCACTTGCAAGGCAGGTGGAGGAACCACTGAGCTAAGTCACTGGCCCAAATTTTTTTTAATTTTTAAAGTTTTTGTTTTTAAAGAGTGTTTATAGGAACAACAAAGTAGAACCAGAAAGGAAGTCTCATTTATTTTATTATTTAATGTTTATTTTTAGAATGCTTTATTAACTAATTCCCAGGGGTGCGGGGATATGTATCAAATTAAATCCACTGTGTTAAACAGCTCTTGATTTGTCATCAGGATAATTCACAATTTACTTTGAGAAGATCTTTGGGTAAGAAAATATGTAAGGTTCAAACACTGTTTTGCTGAAGGATTTTGCAGTCCTGTTATTAACTTCCATGGTTTAAATTAGATGCATTCAGGTAACCCAATGCCTCATTCTCACACACTCCCCAAATTAAATATCTAATGTAGAAGGCCCTTCTTTGCCCTCTGACATATACCTCAATCACATTTTCCCCCTATTTAAACCTTTTCACTTGTGAAAGAAATTAGGCAAGCTAATAAAATAAGTATTTTTTAAGAAAAGAAATTTAACTTCAGCTTTTTCATTAGCAAATGGTCTATCTCATTTTCCTTCTTTGTAAAATGGGTTTCTGGGGCCTGGGATTTAGCTCACCACCTTGTACATACAATGTCTTTGAGTTCAATCCCCAGTACCAAAAAAAATTTTTTAAATAAAATGGGGTTCCTACTGGCCATATCTCACAAGGGTATTTGACAAAAACTACTTTGTAGCTGTTTCCAATAATAAAGTACATAGTATCATGTGTGATAGAATATTTATAACTTTTTATTACATGCTTAATGTTCAATTAAATTATTTTGATGTGAATACATAATATACTTTAAAATGCAGTAAAAATTTTCATATTTTTAAACAAGGCAGTTTTGTAGTATCTTAAGATTAAAAACAACTGCTCCAGTTAGTTTTGTTCAGTTTTGTTTACACTGAAGCCTTGGGAGTCTTTTGTGTGAATAGACATCACCTAGGAATTCAGAGAAGGTTGCAGTATGTTTTTAAACTAAACACAGTACATATTTTCTGGGTGAATTTTCAAAGACTGGCTTAAAACCTGCTGTGTAAAAAAAAAATGCTGTTTTTCACCAGATTTGCTAATTATGTAAATAAAACATGTAAATATATTAGTAAATGTTGATACTCATGTATTTTAAATTAAGGCTATAAAATTTGTCATAGTGTGGTGTTTTCATTCAAGTGAAAAGATGTGTGCAGCTATTTTGAATATTTATAAACATTCATATCCTCATAAAAAAGAGGGCGAGAACTACAGGCCAATCTCTTTAATGAACCTAGAAGCAAAATTCTTCAACAAAACACTGGCAAAGAGGGCCAGGGATTTAGTTCAGTGACACCACCCCTGCCTCGTAAGTGCAGGGTCCTGAGTTCCATGCCAGGTACCCCCCAAAAAAAGATACAGGCAAACAGAATGCAATAAGTCATCAAAAAAAAAAATCATATAGTAAGTCAGTGATGGCAAACCTTTTAAAGATGAGTGTCCAAACTGCAACACAAAGCTTACTTATTTATCTCAAAGTGCTAATACTGCAATTAAACTTGAATACTGAAGGTTTTTTAGAAAAACAACTCAAAAAGAAAAACTCATAGATTAACATTTTCTGTCTTAAAAAGTAACAAATGTCCCATAGGTTTACCACCACTGTCTATCATGACCAAGTAGGCTTCATCCTAGGGGTTGCAGGAATGATTCAATATATATAAATCAATGCATTTAATACATCACATAAACAGAATCAAGGATTTAAAAATCTGATCAATAAAAAGAAAAAAAATCTTTGACAAATCCCAACATCCATTCATGATTTTTTTAAAAACTTAATCAAATACTTACAGAAGAAACATATCTTCAACCTGATAAAAGCCATCTATGACAAACCACTGCCAAAATACTAAATGGCAAAAAACTGAAAGCTTTCCCTCTAAAAGCAGGAATAAGACATTATCACCATACCTGTTTAATATAGTATTTGAAACATTAGCCAGAGCAATAAAGCAAGAGAAAGAAATAAAAGGAACATGTATTGGAAAGGAAGAAGAAAAATTACCATTATCTGCAAATGACATGCTCCTCTACATACAAGACCCAAAAATTCCACCACAAGACTCCTACAACTAAATATCAAATTCAGCAATATAGCAGAATACAAAACAAACACACAAAATTCATAATATTCCTGTTCACCAATAATGAACCCACTAAGAAATTAGATAGCAATATTATTCACAATAGCATCAGGAAAAATACAGACTATTTTAGAAATAAACTAACCAAGGAAGTGAACGTCCTCTGCAGTGCTCTGAAAAAGGAGATCAAAAAGGACATCAGAAAATGAAAAGATATCCCGTTCCTGGATAAGCAGAACCTGTATAGTCAAAATGGCCACGTTTCCAAAAACTGATATACAAATATAACACAATCCTAATCCAAATACCAACAGCACTCCTCACAGAATGACAAGAAAATAATCCTAACAGTCATATGGAAGTAGAAGACTCCTCCAATAGCAAAAGCAATCTTGGGTAACAAAAGCAAAGCAGAAAGCATCACAATCCCGGACTTCAAATTGTATTATAAAGATAAAGTGATAAAAATAACATGGTACTGGCACAAAAACAGACATATAGGTCAATGGAACACAGTAGAGGATCAGAAACAATCCTGTAACATTCAAATATTTGATCTTTGACAAAGGGCCAAAAATACAGTGGAGGAAAGATATTCTCTTTAATAAATAGTACACTGCAAACTAGAGTCATATATTTAACCATGTACTAAACTAAAAATCATAGCTGGCTGCATGTGGAGGCTCATAAACTGAAATCCTAGCACTCAGGAGGCTTAGGAAGAGGGATCACCTCAAATTCATAGTGAGTTCAAAGCCAGCCTAAACTACATTGCAAGATCCTGTCTCGAAATATCAAAAATACATATCATGTAAAGGTACAAGATTCCAATGATAAATGTCACTGTTTGCTTTAACTGTACTAATAAACTTAATGGGGAAAAAATCAAAAGTAAATACAGTAGTTAATTAAATCAAAACACATTAAAGTGATATTTATACACAGTGGAGTACTACTCTTCCACAAAGAATAAATGTGAGTCAATTATTAGAAAACGGATACACTTTGAGAGCATAATGTTAATAAATCAAACACACAAGCTTTAATATTTAATGGTTTCTCTCACAGTGTATGAGAAACCCAAAATAGAGACAAAGAGCAAAATAAAGTAGACAGACCTTTTCCAAGTGGGAAGGGGATCAAAAGATGGAGGGAGACAGAAAGGGAAGGGGGTGAAAAAAGAATCAAGATGTGGTATGCACATGTACCAACTCAAGGCATGTTATTATTATATATTGTAAACATGTACTAATAAAAAATAAAAACCTAGGGCCAGGGATTTAATTCAGTGGCACCACGCCTGCCCTGAAAGCACAAGGTCCTAAGTTTGATCCCTGGTACCGCAAAAAATAAAAAATAAAATAAAAACTAGAAAAACAAAGATTTTTTTAAGCCTGAGGCAAGAAGATCACCAAGTCAATGACAGCCTGGACTACTGAGACTCAGTTTCAGAACACAAAAAATACAGAAAAAGGATTTTTTTGCCGGGTGTGGTGGCACACACCTGCAATCCCAGCACATGGGAGGCTGAGGCAGGAGGATCACTGCAAGTTCGAGCCCAGCCTGGGCTACATAGTGAGTTCCAGGTCAGTCTCAACTACATGGTGAGACCCTGTGCCAAAAAAATCAAAAAATAAAAAATAAAAAGGGATTGGGTGGGGGGTTACCAGTGTCCTTGTGCTTGCGAGGCACGCAGCAGAACCACTAAGCTAAATCCCCAGCCCAGAATTTTTTTAATTAAAAGATTAAACAAGATATTTTACACAAAGCGAAAGCTCTTCAATTAAGTGACCAAACAATTGTCACAGACCCTTCTTCTAAATCAACTGATTCAAAACTGGAAAACTCCACTCTTCCTTAGTTTTATATGAGTGGTACAATGTAAGAGACATTTACAAATTTAGATGCATTTTATGTCAAAGGTCATCTAAATCTGCAAAAATGTTATGAATTTATATTCTCAAACAGTTGAACATGTGACATAGTTTTTTGCAAAGAGGGCATTGGTTTTTTTGAGACTGCAGTTCAGGCTGGCCTTGAACTCACTATGTAGCCCAGGCTGGTTTTAAACTTAAAGCAATGTTCCTGCCTCAGCATCCTGAGTACTGGCTGGGATTACAGATGTGCACCAACATGGTCAGTTTAGATATGTTTTGGGGGGTTTTTGTTTTTTGGTTTTTTTGGGGGGGTACCAGGGATCAAACTTAGGGCCTTGCACTTGAAAGGCAGGCACAGTGCTGCTGAGCTAAATACCCAGCCTTAAATTGGTTTGTTTTTTTTTTGGTACTAGGGATCGAACTCGGGACCTTGTACTTCTGAGGCAGGCAGCAGAACCACTGAGCTAAATCCCCAGCCCCTTAAATGTTTTTAATACTCTGAATGACAAAGAACTTTTAACTAAAATTTTAAAATTTTGTTTCTATCATAACAGATATCATTATTCTAATAGGTCAAAAATTTGGACTTAATGAAATTTTAAAACAAAAGGCTGAATCTGTTTTGTTATTTCTTCCCACTGTATGACACACATTGAAAATACCTGTGCTCCTTCGGCAGCACACATTCTAAAACTGAAATGAAACAGAGATTAGTATGGCCCCTGCACAAGCATGACTGCAAATTTGTGAAGCATGCCATATTTAACAAAAAAGAAAATACCTGTGCTATTTCTGAAGCTGAATCCATGAACAGTATCATGGACACAGTTGTTAAAATTTTTCAGTAAGTATGTATAAATGTTATGAATCACCAGTTTAGTGTTAAGGTTTCCCTTGCCTTAAGATGGCTGCCACATGGAATAGCAGCCTCCATGTTAAAATATGGCTTCTCTCAGCAAGACAGGCTTCTTCCCAACATGGCCCTCTTCCCTCCAAAGGAGTAACCTGATACTTGCTACCTTCTAGCAGCTAGTGATGTTACAAGCCCCTCCTAGTGATGTCACAAGCTCCCCCAATCCCTAGCCACTACATCACTCAACCCCATTCTGCTCCTATAAAAAAAGCTTGCGGTTCTGTTGCTCTCTCTTTTGTTGAAAGACAGCCCAGCAGATGCTCCCCATAACACAGGCTTGTTAAGGTCCTGGTCTGGTCCTGGTTTTTGGCTCTTTTACCAGACAGTGTATTTCATGAAGTTCATAAAGGGCAAAATAAATCTTCACAGCAATCAGAATGGTGGTTATCCAAGAAGACAGATGCGCAGCATTGACTGGGAAGGAGCTCCTGCCTTCAGCGTTTACACACTGGGCTACACATGTAATAGCACACTTTACTGGGTATGTTATTCTTAAATAGCAATTTTTGAAAATCCATTCTAAGCAAAGTTATTCTAATTTTTTAAGTTTTTAAGTTAGAAATCTTTCTCAATTAGAAATAATTGCACCTCAGATAAACCTCACTGGCTATGATTCTGCCACTGCACAAAGCTAAGTTGGAAACCTTTTTAAGGTAACAATTTTTCATTGAAATCAACCAGGTAATCCTGGTTACATTTTAATGACCTCAATAAATAATCTTTTGGGATCCCCTTTTTTTTTTTCAGTTTATTAGTATATATGTAGTGTTCAACGTTTACCTTCCTTGTAGGAAGTTGGTACAAACAGATAAAACTTCTTTACTCTTTTTTTAATCCCCTTTCCTTTCCCTCCTTCCCCCTCCATCCATTCCTTGATCCCCTTTTCACTTTTTTTTTTGGACATGTTTACATTCCTTGTATGGAGTTGATCCATGTACATAACACATCCCAATTCACTTTTTTCATCCTCTTTGCCTTCCCTACCTCTATCTCTTTATTCCCTTCCCCTTTGAGATAGATCTCCCTACTTCCTATTATTGTATCCTTTATTCTGCTCCTTATTTTTACTCTGGGTTTCACACAAAAGGGAAACAATGTGATATTTTAGCTTGTGTGTCTGATTCATTTCACTTAACATTTTGGCCTCAAGATGCATTTACTGAAATCTATATTTTAAAAGGAGATAAACTATATGGCTATTTTTAACATAGAAAACATCAAACCTGGGCAGGGTTTGAGGTAGGAGTATCGACTTGCAATCAAGGCCAGCCTAGGCTACAAATAAGGCCAATCTGAATTATATAGTGAGACCCAATTTTTAAAAATGACCTACTAGACTGACAAGTGCAATACAGACGTGAGGCAGGAAATTTAAGTTATCCTTATCCTTTTTTTTTTTTTTTACCGGGGATCGAACTCAGGACTTTGATCTTGTGAGGCAGGCAGGCGCCACTAAGCCAAAATCCCTGGCCCTATCTCATTTTTTTTTAATCTGTAATTTTTACTTCAGTTTCATTAATGACCCTAAAAATATATTTAATATCAGCATAAGTATAAAAATACCTGTATAGCACCTGAATCTGCTACTTATTAACGAGACCTTGATAAAGCATAGATAGTAAAATACTTTTTTTTTGGTACCAGGGATCGAACTCCGGACTTTGCACTTGCGAGGCAGGTGGTGGAACCACTAAGCCAAATCCCAGGCCCTAAACTACCTTTTAGAACCGACTAGCATGTGAATTCGGACTTTCCACATAGGGTATGAATACGTCAAACTGAACTGTACGTATTACGCACGAGATGTGTTTTTACTGTATGTCAATATACTTCAAGAAAACTGTTTTAAAACTAAATAAATAAAAACAGCTTGCTTTGGTTTTGGTTTTTTGAGACAGAGCCTTATTGTTGTTGAGGCTAGCCTGAACTTTCCAGGATTGTTCTCTCAGCCTCTCCAGGGCCGGAATGAAGGTAGCAATGCACCACCACATCCGGCTATGAAAGCTGTCCTAATTTTGTTTTGTTTTTTTAATCTCGAAACCTCCAAAGCGTGCTGTGTGAACGTTCTTTAAAGCAAGGGACTGGACACGGCCTGCCTTGGAGGAGGAGCAAAGTGGACACAGACGGCAAACTCCAGCACCCCTCCGACTCAGAAAGCAAGTCGCCAGCCAGCTAGGGGATCTGTCGGACCTCAGTACGCGAAAAGCCACGGCTCTACAAGGCGCTAAACCGAGTCCCAGGCGCCTCAAGACGAAGAAGACGCTTCCCCGCGCTTTGGGGAGCCCCAGGGCCCTGCCGCGCCGCCCCGCGCCCCGCACCCCTCAACCTGTACACCTCAGCCACTGAGCCGGGCCTCGCCGCACCGCCCACCCTTCTCAAGAGCCGGACTATGAGTAACCAGCTACTCGGCAACTCTCGCTCAGGAATTACCGCTTGGAGAGGCCTCAGCCAAGATTTCAATCCTAAACAGGTTCCAGCGTCGCCTCCTCGGCTTTTGCTAATGAGCCGCCCGAATAAGCGCGGGGAACAGAGCGCTGCCCCCTGGCAGGCTCCGCCCCCAACAGGCCCAGGCCCCGCGCGACTCTGTCCCGAGGCCTCTAGGGAAGTATAGTTCCCTCTGGCCTCTCTGCGCTGGTGCGCGAGCACCCTGGGCCCACATAAACTACAACTTCCGTGAGGCCTCACGAAAGACGTTGCCTAGGGGATGGACAGAGCACCTCCTTCGGGCTGGGCGGGGCTCCCTGGGGTACCTAGAGCGGGAGGCAAGGCGGGAGGGTAAGGGTTTAGGAGAGCCTACTTCCTTGGTGACGGATTACCCGGCTCTTGAAGCCTCGGAGGATGCTGGGAACGCCCAGCCGAGAGCAGAGTCTGAGCGCCCGGCGGAATAGGGAACCCAGATTCGAAACTAACAATTTTAGGTTTTGTTGTTTTGAACCTTGGTATGCACTTTGGCTGGATTTGATTTATTAAAGACCTAGGTTTTGGGGTTTTTTTTTCGTTTTTTGTTTTTTTTGTTTTGTTTTGTTTTGTTTTTTGAGACAGGGTCTTACTATGTAGATGAGATTGACCTGGATGTGTAGCCCAGGATGGTCTCGAACTCACAGCGATCCTCCTGCCTCAGCCTCCCAAGTGCTAGGATTACAGGCGTGCACCACCACGCCCGGCAAGACCTAGGTTTTGTCTTGCTTTGTTTTGTTTTGTTTTTAGAGGGAAGGGAGATATGGCCACACCACTTCATAAAGTGATTACTCTGAGATTACTCAGGCGCTGGGTGTGGTGGAGCACGCTTGCTTGTAACTAAAATCCTAGCACTCCGGGCTACATAGTGAGTTCCAGGTCAGTCTCAACTACATAGTGAGATCCTGTCTCAAAAAAACCAAAAAAAATCAATTAATTAATTAAAAAAAATAAAATCCTAGCACTCCGGGCTACATAGTGAGTTCCAGGTCAGTCTCAACTACATAGTGAGATCCTGTCTCAAAAAAACCAAAAAAAATCAATTAATTAATTAAAAAAAATAAAATCCTAGCACTAAGGAGGCTAAGGCAGGAGGATCACCATAAGTTCAAGGCCAGTTTGAATTACACAGAGAAACTATCTCAAAAAAAAAAAAAAGTAGTTCTTAGCTGGGTAAGGTGTCACACACCTTAAATTCCAGCTGCACAAGAGGCTGAAATGACGTCATACCAAGAGTGTGGTCTTCAGAACTCAATCTTTCTGAAACTAGTCACATTTGCAAAATGTAGATATTAATAAAGATAACTGCTTCACAGGATTGTCATGACAATTACATTAAAAGAAAAAAGTATCTATAAACTTATCACACTTTTCAACTCTTGACCATGGGGCTTCAACTACAGATGAACTCACTGTGTGCCAAACCCAGCTATGCAGGTCATGTCACAGGCTGGGCCAGACACTGAATATTACTTACTTTATTCTCAAATTGTTTGGTAACAGCTTTTTTAAATTTTGAACTGACACATTTTTCAGTACACATGTACAATGGGTAATGATCATATCAGAGAGACAGACCCACTGGTTTCCTCAAACATCATTTTCTTGTATTCAGAACATTAAAATCCTCTCAAATGGATATTTGAAATATCAGTTGTCAACCACAGTTACGCTACTGTACCATAAAACATTAGAAGTTATTTCTTTTATCCAACTGTACCTTTGTGCCCATTAACCATTGTCTTAGTTACCTTCCTCGTCAGTGGGAAATACTGACACCTACTTTTGTGGGAACTCAAGAGACTAGAGAAACCAACTAGTGAAACAGGAGGATGTATTTAGTTGTACACCAACTCAGCAGAATCATGTCCAAAGGCTAAGCCCCAAACATGCTGCCCGAGGTGTTGGTCTACTTGGTGGCATGTAACTTAGTGGTGGACAAATAGAACAAAGGCAATTTGTCAAGCTGTGACAGCTTTGCGACAACATATCCCAGTGGCCTTCGTTGGGTAAAAATAAGATGTTCTGAAAACAAGAGGTTTTAATTACAGTGACAAAGTTACTGATTTTATCTGTATTAGAATAAAAACAGCTGTATTGCTTAGGTTGGGGAAATGTGTGTGTGTGTGTGTGTGTGTGTGTGTGTGTGTGTGTGTGTGTGATAAATCCTGCTTCACTACAATTTAAAGGAGAGATTGTTTCCTGCTCCTGTTTCAGAAGTCCATGCATGGTCAGCTGGCTCCAGGCAGAAGCAGCATGGAAGAAGCAGAAATAACAAAAGTAGCATGGTAGAAGGGAAATGGTACAGGAAAGCTGCTCACCTCATGTGTGAGAGTGAAGGGGGAGCAGGAAGGCGGATGAATTCTTCCAGGTCTTGCTTCAGTTGCTGCCTCTTCTGACCAGATGCCAACTCGTAACAGCAAGTCAGCTATAAGTCCCCACAACCCAGCATCTTCCAAAACTCCAGCTATGAGCACATGAGGCTCTTGAAGGACATGTAGATAAAATCATAACAGGCATCCTCTCTCCACCCCCTCTCTCCCGATAACTATGAAAAGCTTTCAGGGAAGATCCTCACGAAGGTCCCAAACTCATATTTCTAGAGTATACTGTTGGGGCATCAGACTGGCACCAAAAGATCATGGCAACGTATGAGTCCACACACACAAAGATTATCACCTTTACCACAGTCTAAGAAGCCTAACGTACAGTGTCCAGTGTACAACAAAGGAGAATTCTGGCCTTAATCTTTGCTATGACAACACCAAGCAATACCGTGACTGTTGACATAAATGTACTTTTACTTTCTTCTTAAAAATAACAATAACTGGGCCAGGCAGGATAGTGCACTTCTGTAATTTCAACACTTGGGAGGTTGAAGCAAGAGGATTGCCCCAAGTTCAAAGCCAGCCTGAACTACACTACAAGAGCCTGTCTCCAAAAAAAAAAAAGGCAATAATTTACTTTTTTTCCCCAGTGTTCAGAAGGTTTATTAAGTAAACTAGCTAAAGCATGGCTAGCACAGAAACACTTAGCATTCAAAAGAAAGGTGGTGTTCATTGCTGCCTCATTAAAATTTTTGGTATCACCAGGTGAAAACAAAACCACTGCTGTTCAAAAAAAATAAACGTTCAGAGAGCTGTTACTTTTTTGTTGTGATACATAATTTTAAAGTTCTCAATCTTGCTAAGGCAGACTGTTAGCATATTCAAGGACTACCTTTTTTTCCTCTCACATACAGCATACCTTTTGCTCTCCAAACAGTTCTGAAAAATTCACCTAGCAATAATCCTGGGGACCAATCACGGACATGCCTTTGTCAGTGATTCTTACAGAAGCCAAAACCTCAAAGCCAAAAATAAAAAGAGAAATAAATTATACAGTATTGGCACAGGCAGAACCACAAACCTCCGATTTATAGCACATTTTTTAAGACCATCCTGTAGACAGAAGTAAAAACAATCCTGCCTTTTTTATTTTAATCCATGTAAGAGTTTTTCTAGAGCCATCTTTCATAGTTGTAATTTTCTCATGTTAGTAAGCAAGAAGAAGCTCGTTTTGCTTCAAGCACACTGCACTTGGAAATCACAGAAAAACTTTATAAAGCCAAAGAAGTCACTTCATAAAGCAAAATTAGCCACTTTCCATAATAGCCAATAAGATTATAGCACACTGCACTTGGAAATCACAGAAAAACTTTATAAAGCCAAAGAAGTCACTTCATAAAGCAAAATTAGCCACTTTCCATAATAGCCAATAAGATTAAAGAGTCTTTATTCTAAAGTTCTTTGCTCCTTGGTGTTCAAGTTAATACAAACACAATTTTAGCTTAACAAAACTGACATTAGGTAATTTTTCTTTATGACTATGGAACTGCAGAATTAATAAGACATAATCCACACTGTCTTCCCATTCTAATCATATGAAACAATGTAAACTGACAATGCTCACTAACTTATTTGCTGGTACACTTAAGACACCCATGCTGTTATGCCTGGAAAAACTACAATACCCAAGTAGCACGCAAGATGATACAGTAACGTGTAGATGGTTGCTGTTTCTCTTCTGCCTGGAAAAAGGGGTGTGTATTGATCACTTTTGCATCTGTTTAGGTAATATGATTAAAGACTATTTCATTCCTTCATCCTTCTTTAAAATTTGTTCTCACATTTGTGTGAAAGACTTTCGGGAGTTTAGAAAATAATAGTTTCAGACAACCCAAAATTCTAGATCTCTAAAAAAAACACTTAGATGACTTGAAGGTCAGGTTATACTCTGATTTCTTCGAGTTACAGTAGCTATTATATTTGTAAACTTTTTTCCTAAAACTTGAACTATGTGTAGGTGAACTTTACCACCCTTAACTGTGACAGTGTAAGGTATATATACTGTTTTTATCCAATAAGATGGTCAGATGTGCATCCCAGAGGGAAAGCTTTTCATACCGATACATTTGGTACTTTTCTCTGCTTTTGCAACATTTACTGTTTTCCACTTGTTGCTGCCAAACATATGACATGCAAACATGTAATTTACCACTATCCCTTTCCAGGTAGGTGATTTCATAGAAAACTGTTGCCAGTGAATATTTGTGGACATATCCAAAAGATGACTGACTCACATTCTTGTCCTCTGCACTTTAGATAACTTGCTTTTAACTCATAAATATATTGATAGTAAGTACAAGTTAAATGACACTCGATGCCACTACATAACGTGCTGTCTTATGTTTCTGTTTTTCAGATTTCTTTCTAGTTTCTTGTTGGAACAGTCTCAGATAATGTGCTTTACCACTCATTACCAATATTCAGAAAAAATATATTTTTGTCCAAGTGTTTGTGGATTTAAGTTAAAAATTATATTTGATTTGGATTCAAATATTTATAGATTTACAATATACCTATTTCTTTAAAATATATTGAATAATATTTAATAAAATCAAATACATAAAATAAAGTTTTTAACACTATACAAACCCCTAGAAAAGCTTCTTTTTCTCTATAAGGCTGTTGGCAGCTGATCACAACTATGGAAAAGAAATAATAACCTTTGGTTGTCGTACTCTTTTGCCAGGGATGGATGGTATGGCTAAGACAGCTCTGAATGAGTCACTTCACTG